TGCAACAGATCCCTCAGTGCGGCGTTTGTGGCAGAGAAATGATGGAGATCCGCAGAGCCCGCGACACCGGGGATCAGGTCCTTGGCCTTCTCATCAGCCCGTCCGCATTAGAGAATCCCGGCCCAAAAGATTTTATCAGGCACCAGAGTGCTCTTGTTTGTTTCCAAGGTATGCTGCGTATGCTCAGATCATTCAGTTCATTAGTGCTTTTTTAATGACCAAAGCGTAGATGGAGAAACATTAGAGAGTGGTGATAAAGTCGTGCAATTCAAGTCTGTTGTTGGTACAAAAATTGCCAAGTAATTTTATAAGAATACAATAACACTAAAAGATGTCTATATGTGTGGTAGCTGACAACATGTATGGGACAGAAGTGAATATGGCAACATTGTGGCACCCATTATGTTCTTGCAGATGAATTAACAGCAGATCTGGAGTTGGGTGTCCGTTATGATGTTCCCGGACTTCAGACTAATGCATATTTTCACGCGTGGAATGTCCGGCGATGGGTGTCAGATATTAGCATTAAAATGCGCCATCAAGAACTTTCGCTTCATATGCCTCCAGCAATTTGTGCCCTTTATGTGCGCCTTAGGTATGTTATGCAGGTCACATACCCATTTTGTTTCTCCCCTTATGTACCATTGATCATTTAGATGGGAAGGAAGTATGACTAATGGCGGCTTGTAATTTTTATTCTTGCACACTTATCTATAGTTACAATTGAACTGCAGATTAATTGATGAGCAGTTAAACACAATTTCCTCATCTTTTTTGTTGAAACCATTTTGTTAAATCCTCCCCTTCTCAAAATTAGTTTTTCAACTTTTTTGTATGTGATTCTAATGACGTGTGCTACACAAGTTTCTTTCTGCTTCTTACAGAATGTTGAAAATGATAATCGTTGTTATTATGTTCCAATAATATTGATCAGAACTGTGCAGAACTTTCTCTCTGACCGTCATTCAGAAAATAATTTTTTTTAAATAGTTTAATCTGTTTTGAATATGTGATTCATACATTGTAATACCTTCTAGAAAGTTTGCAGCCGATTAATGAAGTTCTGGGAACTTTTTATCATCACACAAGAAATTTGCAACTGTGTGCTGAACATAGGTCATCATGTCGTTGACCACAGTCCTGCATACTTTCAGCCAGCATTGCCCAAATTCACCATGGGCTTTCGTGACAGCTCTTGCAGCACAGGTGGCTGCAGACACGTTCCCTGCTCCAGCGCTTCTGCATCTCAAACTAGGGCTGATCCTTAGCCTTGCGTCACAGGTACGAGTTTCAATGTTGCCAGTTTTCCCTTGTGTTTGCTTATTTGTTCTGGTTTTCTGTTTGAGTCACATAATTTTGTATTGCAGCAAAATCAAATACGGACAACTTTTTAAACTGGGGATTGTCTCAAACATGACTTTATGCTTAGTACTGTACCTCACGTTCAACAGTATACAGACGTACACCACTAAGTTATTCTTATTATTACCATTGTGAATAATATTTGTGTCTTAAGGGTAGAAACCAGCCCCCAGTCTCAATACTGGCTGTAGGGCCTGACACCTTGGCTGCTCATCGTCTGCTTTACCAAGCTGCCCTATTGGCCCAGCGAAGTGTCACGCTCAGTTCTCTGTCACACTGGGGTCCATTACACGGTTCTTCGTATCGTGACGAGCAAGGCAACGACTGGCTTGAGGCTGGAGCTCTTCTACTGGCATCCACTGGTGTGTGCTTTCTTGGGGACTGGGCAAAGTTTAAGTCCAGTAATGTGCGATCATCAGTTCTTTCAGGTAATTCACCGTCATGTCCCTTTACCTGTTGCCTGTCAGACTGTATGATGAAATTGTAGTTTGTCTTCCATTAAGTATCATATATAGATCTGGCTTATTCCAGCAATTGAGAGTGGTCACGTGACTATAGACGCACAGAGATTAGCTGCGTCAGGCTCTGCTGTTTCCTCTCCCAAATTTCCTCTCCAGTGCTCTCTATGGACATACAAATACTGGACTGCTGGAGAAAAGGGAGTCGATCAGATTCAGCTCCGCACCCTTATCGAGTGAGTAATTCATGCATGCATGCATGTCACTGCACCACAGAAATACACAATTTACAGGAACTGTCATCCTCAATAGTTTATAGATTATATTAATTGCAAGAAGTTCTGAGTGCTGTTTCAATAGTGTATCTTCAAAATAACAGTAAATACCTGTTCTTCTCGTGATGAACCAATCAGAACAAAGTATGCCAAAGAACAGCAGAATACAGAAAGTAAGAGTTTTTCAGTTTCCAAGTAGTGTGTGCTTCTGTATGGCTGGTGATCTGTGGACCACTGCCGGTCTGCAGCCTGATTTACGTCAGTTTATGAATTTAATTGGTGTCATTTTATGAATATGTCAACACTGTAAAATGCCATAACTTTGTTATTCCTCCCTTAGGCTACTAAGTAGTTTCTGTTGAGCATATTTGCACAGAGATTTTACTAGACAAGTCTTTTATTTCTGTTATGTACAAATCTAATAATATGAGGAATTTCGGACGAATTATTCCACATCTCTTGTAATTTTTACCGTAAACATTTCAGTACGAATAATTATAATCTTTGGGATTCTGTCCATTTTGAATTCTTTGCCACGTTACCAGCTACCCTCTTTACATTCCTCATGATGCTTCCCAGTCTCTGCAGATAATTAAGAATCAGTGATGACCACTTTCCATATTCTTACCTGGTTGGCATTCATTGGTCTTCTCTTCTCAGTCACTCATCCTTTTCTTTGCTGCCTGCAGTGTGTTTGGAATGCCGTATCTGGCTGACCTAGGCACAGAAGTGGAAAGGGTGTCCCACAGCACCCTACAGGCGGCCACTGACGCGGGAGGTGATACCGATAAACCGTACTATGTGGTTCCAGGACATGAACTACAGCAGGTGAGGTTAAGTAGCCTACGTGAGAGCATTTTACCACTGTCAGGTCTCACAGAAAACATTAAAATATGTATCGTTCTGTAGTAACTTGTTCTGGGGGAAATTGGATGAAGGTAAGAAATGAATGGATCTGTGTGCGTTTTATCATACTAAAATATCTGTACTAAACTTCTGAAAGGAAATTGTGTATCTTAATATACTCCTCTGCCTGATTGACTGAACTAAGTTGAATACTGACTGTTTGATCTGCAGTACTTGGCAATGGTGGCAATTCAACCAGTGAAGCTTGGAGAGAAAGCCAGTCAGCTGATACACGATTATTTTGTAGCCAGTCGAAGGCTGAGGTCCGAATGCTTGCCTGTGGGAGCAGTTAGCACCATGTGAGTAATGTGTTGGCATCACAACCAATTTACTTGTTTGTTTTAACTATAGTCCTGTTTGCTTAGGTCAGTGCACTGTATTTATTTATTTAATGGAAAGTGCATATCAGTCTCATGGTCTAAGCACTGTGTGACCTTCTGCGAACAGCAGATATTAACACAAGTTTACTCTCACAAGTCATAGCACACTCACAATACAGAGTGATACAGATTTGTTTCTCAAGCAAAATAGTAACAGAAGGAGCATTGTTGTTGTTGTTGTTGTTTTGCCTGTTAGGATTTCAGTGTAACGTTATTTCACAGCACGGCCCTTTCAGAAGCTCATGCTAGACTTGCTATGAGGCACGAAGTAAGCTACGAAGATGTCTCGGCCGTGTTGTGCCTGTATGAGACGGCGATGGTGACATTGTTTGGGCCTTACTATGTCACCCCACCACCTCAACCAAAAACTCTGGATGTCAACTCCGTACCCCTTCAGGTAAGCTGAAATTAGTTTCCTAAGATGGCAGTAAGAACAATTTCTGAGTAGTTGGGACAAAATGGCTCCACATTTTAATGTTTCTGCCTCATACGATGAAGCTCTTTCCTTCCAGGCTTTGCAGATCCTGTAACTGTGCGGGAGAATGTAGTCAGTTTTGAGGTTAAATAAGTATTAAAAGTCTCTCAACTAGTAAGGTTGTTCAGCATCAATCATGTGATTACTCAAAATTTTCAGCATATGGCAGAGAAGTGTATCCAAACATGTCCGATCTCATCTTACGCTGTTTGCAGATGCATGTTCACATGGTGGAGTTTGTAACTTGGTTGGAAAAACACATAAAATCATTACTTGGCTACTCCAGTTACAACACAAATCCAGAAGAATGAAGCATGTGATTTGCCGTTTTGAAGAGACACTGTAGTCTCCTTTTTTTAAAATTAAAAATGATTTGTGGCAGAAATTCATAAACATAATCTGTTAACAATTATCATAATTAATATTCATGTTAAAAGCAGCAGGTAATCTATAATTTATTATTTATTTCATATTTTTAAAACATAATTTTTACAGTTATTTTGATGTGTATGAAATACTTGACAAAACGTTGCAATGAACACACACAGAGTTTCATGTTCCTCTTAACCAAATGTTTTATCAGTACTGTATATTAAATGCAGTTTGCTTGTAAAGTGCTTCAGTAACCAAACACAAATGTGAAATGATCCAGGAAAGCTATTGTTTTTGTTTTAAAATGTGTTATAATTCTGAAGTAAGTTTACGGTGTTATACCAGCACCTTACAAAGCCACCGGCATCTGTGTTTGAAGATTTACGGGAGGCAGTATAGTACAGTTCTTATTAAATTATTTATATGATCTGAATATCTGGGACAGTTTACAGTTCATTCTGTCAGAATTACTTTCATTTATGAGTAATGAATATTAACCCCAAATTCCTTAGGTACTCCAATATTAGTGATAATATCTTAATGTAAGTGCTTTACACAATTGTGCTATCTGAGGTTTCTCAATGGCTATTTATAAATCGTTCTTAATCTGCACAGGTACAAAGTAATGATAAATGCATCATCTGTTACCAGAGCAAGCTAAGTATTCTTTTTGATCAAAACATCAATCTTTCAGAAATTCTAAAAACTGCGTACTTATTCAAAGTATAATATATGAGGGGAAGGCCCACTGAAATCACTGGGACATAACAAATATCATTACTGGTATCATATTGGTTATAACTAAATTTAAACTTGAAAATATTTGTTAAACTAGTTTTAAAATAGAGTAATGAGATGTACATTGGATACTACACGCAGAATAAGAAATAAGTGACAGATACTCTAAAAATATGAGCACTACTTAGAGAATTAAATTAGTGCTAAAATCTATGTAGTGCAGTGAAGTGAAATTTAATTTCAGGTTATGGTGTAGGTATTAAAAGGAAACACAACTTTTTCAGTTTTAGGAAACTTCTCAAAGAGGGGAACGACATTATTATCTGACATAAGTGCAACATTTTCAGAATTCATAACTCGGCTGAAAGGTAAGCTTGCTTTCCGAAATACAATTTGTCGGTTCTACCTTAAGTGGTAGTAAAATCGCTGTACTTCTATGAACTACGTTGAAAGAACACAAAATGACAATAAGTGTTCACTCAATTAGGTATAATGTGACTAGGTACTTGGTCCTTGCTTAAGCCCGTTTTTATCAGGTTGAAGGAATTCATTGATGATTGCTGTCACCATTTCTTGTAGTGTATCTTGAAGCTCTTTCAGGTTCCTGTAATCATAAAATATCATAAGCATTACCACAATTTCATTGACTGAAGGGATGCTATTACTGTGTTACACTAAATGATCACATGCATTTGAAGTTGATAATAACCAGAACTATACAATCCCAGTAAGACCCCCATTTCACTGCGTACACACTTACGTCTCTTCGGGAAGTGCCACGAGTTCAGTGTAGTACTTGATTTTTGGCTCTGTGCCACTTGTACGCAGAGTTGCCACTAATCCATTCTTAAATGTGAATGTGATCATCTGACTAGATTTAGAAACAGGAAGAACTGCCTTTTTGTCAGGTTGAGATGAATCATATCCAGTTGTCAGATCTCGTATAGATGTTATTTCATATGTGCCATTCAGCAGCGACTGGGGATACTGAAAATAAATTGGACAACCACATTCGATTTAAAGCATTCATAGCAGAAAGAAAGAAATGTAAATGTTTTTACCAATGCATTCTCAATTTCATACGGTGAAATCAGTAATTATCCACCTAAAATCGAAGTGAAAATAAGACACTGAAATTCATTCAGGGCTTATTGCAAATTTTCAGTTTTATGATTCACCATTTTCCCTGATTTGAAATTCTTCTGGAAATTTGCACCTAAATACAATGATCCAGAACTTCATGATATTGTACTGAATTTTGTATGCAAATCTGTCTCCAGTTACATTTATGAGAAGACATTACCTACAACAAACCAATCAATTTCAAAAATCAACTCAAATACTTCATTTCTGCATGACCTGAAATGTTTTTTTGAAGACAGCCATCTTTGTATTCACTGCCATAAGAGCCTCAGATTCTATGTTTTTCTCTATCTTGATTCATTCTGATATGTGTTTCTTTTAATATAAAAGTATTAAACTTTTACTTGATTATAATAATTATTGTCATTATTATAATAATTAATAAAAAGATGGTAAGATGTCCAAGAAAGTTAGATCCACCGTTAATAGCAATGAGCAACCACGCACGTCACATATCAGGTCACGAAAATGTATCATTTGTGATCATCACATAAAAATATTCTGCCTGAAAAAACATCCTGGTGTATATACATACTGAGTCTGGTGATCCTGAAAATGTGCGTAATCTTCCAAACAGTCTCTGAATGACTGGTTGCTTATTGCAAATGTAGTATGAGTTACAGCTGATGTGGTGTCCATAGCTAAGGGAGAGAAAAATTTTGTCAACGCTGCTACAACAGAGAATCAGTTCCATTGAGGTTTTCTTGGAGAGAGAATGTGAGACAAGAGAAAATTCAACATGAAAACAAATACACATGGGCTCAAGGTACAAGTTATCATTTCAGTTTCCCTGTACTCACACTGAGAATAGTTCCTTCAGTTTGTCCATTAATGACATATCTTTCTTGCTGAGGTACGCTGCCATTTCTGCTACCCGAATGCCAGCAGAAATTCCATCTTTGTCCAAGACTTCCGTTCCACACATAAAACCTATCGCTTCCTCATATGCAAATAGTACACTCTTCCCCTGTCTCTGCAGCTCTGCTGTCTTATTGCCCATCCACTTGAAGCCAGTCAGAGTCTCCTGTAACACACATAAAATGGGAAATTTTGGAAAGTGGGAAATATTAACAGGATGGAACCCTAGGTATTGTACATCATCGTTATCATCAATGACCATGCAGTTCATAGTCTAAAGAAACAGAGTCACTTCATGTCTATAGTACAGTGGAATATATGTCATAAATTTTATTAATAATTAGTCTCAATTGTCACAGCATTAAAAGAAATTTAAGCCTTTTCCGTGAAAGGAAATAATGTTTATGCTCTGATCTTTCCAAAACATTGTTTTGAACATACTATGAAATTGAATCCTTCTTTAGCTGCCATAGTCTTGAGAATCTTGGAGGAGACCGTGCTAGACATCATGTAAAGTTGAGAGGGGTCTTCTTCCGGTTCGCGCTTACGACGGGCGTACCAGGACCACCAGCCCAACAGAGCTCCCAGTTCATTACCAGAAAATACATGCCACTCATTATTTCTGCAAAATTGAAAAATGAGGCAGTGAATTCTGATCTGCAGATGTGGTTTTCACTTCAACATACAAATTTTACTAAGACAATGTGAAGAACATTTCTGATGACCAAAAATATTGCTCACTAAACTACTATGACACAGTTCTTATAAAATCCAGGAAAGACACTAGCATAACATAAAGATAGACAAAACTGAACTTTTGGGTAAAACTGAAACAGTATAACAGAATTTTTCAAAATGAACCAAAATTAGAAATCCTAAGGTTAGGGTGGGGTGGGGGTTTTAAAGGAGAGACGGCCTTGTTACTTTCAGTTCATAATTCTCGAACAAGACAGGTTTATAACAAATATCTGCAGTTTTTACTCATTTGTACACTTGCTAAATGGAGATTGAAGTCAATTATAATGGGTCTTGACAACGGTACATTGCAGTTAATATTACAGGGTTTCTGGACTTTGTCCAGAACATAAGATTTCTTCTCACCCCTTGGACTGCTTTTCCGCCACTGCCAAACGGTCAGCGTCAGGATCATTGGCCAGAATGACTGATGAATTATGCAAGTCAGCTGTTTTTATAGACAGATCAAGAGCGCTTCTCCCTTCTTCTGGATTTGGGAACTCTACAGTTGGAAATTCTGGATCTGGCTCTTTTTGTTCTTTTACAACAACAAATGGCTGAAAAAGTTTGTAATAACAGACGGGTCAATATATGTCTTATAACTCTAATACAATAAATATATTTTGTGATACAATCACACTGTTACTTGAATTTTAATGACCTGCAATCATGGTGCACATTATTAAAGGATATTTAGGTTCAGAATATATTATAAATTGATGCACAAAATTAGAACACTGTGGATTAGCCCAGTGTGTCATGCTGAACTCCCTGGGCACAATGGTAACGTAAATTTAAAGTATAATGTTTTGCAAATATAATCTGTGGACACGCAAGTTTTAAGGTGTACCATAATTACCAGAGATCTATTTTTCAAGAAATCTTTTGAATCATGTTTGATTTATTTACAGATTTTTGTACATTCCTGAATATAAGATGATTCTCATATCTTTGAATGAAATTAAATTAAATATGTTAAGTTGCCTTCGTACATACTTGTGACAGATGTGACTCGTGTACCGTCTGAAGGAGTAGCTTATATGCAATACTGGAATATAAAATAAGATGCTGTGGGAAATTATTTAATATTATATTGGTATACCTGAAAATTTGCAGTCTTGAATGCTTCTGCCATGTACACGTAACCAACACCATGCATTGCAGAGTATGTAAACTTAATTTTACAGTTGGAGTTCAACTCTGCTTCTAACACAGCCTGTCCAAGAGCCTTCATGTACGAGTTCATCGCTTCCTGAAGTGGATCTGTCAGTTGGGTACTGGCAGTCAGAATGGATATATCCCAGGAATTTTCCCATGGATGCAAATTCTTCATGATCGTCTTCTGGATCTCTTCATCATGAGGTGAAATTATCTGAATATAAGTGATTGGATACTCAGTCAACTGTACTTGTGATGAGGTGTAATATTAAAATTAATTCATATCAAGACATTAATAACGTACCAATCTAAAAGACTGTGCAGGGGTGGACAGGGAAACAAGCAGTTTTAAGACTTCTGTAATTAAATAAAGAATTTGTATTTGCCAAATTACAAATATGCCGTCTGTACATAGCAAAGTACATAAAATGGCATGATGTGGACAAGTTTAATGTAGAATCAATTAATTTCAAGAGATCTGTGAAGCACATACTGCAAGCAGGCCAGTAAACTTCACCGTACAATGCTGTTGTAGCAACATTATTACCGCAGTCGACTGAGTAGGAAAGGCACCAATCAGCACATTTACACAGTCCAAAGACACAGGAAATAAGTACCATTCAAATGCAACTGAATTATTTTCAAGTTGATGCAACACTTCACTGTTGTGTGAAATATGTGTACTTTTGTGATACACGGTACGGTTGTATCAGGTTGGGAATCCAACCTGTTTGACAATTAAGTCAGAAAATGCACCAACAGAAGTATGTATCATTGCCTCTCAGGATGAAAATCCATTTAGTCTTTGCTTAGTACTGGCCACTTACCTGAGCACCATTCTTCCAGTAGACTTTGTAACCGTTATCTTCCTTCGGATTGTGTGAGGCGGTTATCATGACACCAGCTGCGCACTTGTAGAGCAGCACAGTGAAGGGTACAAATGGGGTTG